GGCAACACCGTCTCTCTAAATCGTTACACACGTTTACACACGAAAGTATTAGTGCTGATTGATGAAAGTTGTTGTTTGAGATATATGGACTAAAGTATGATAATAGATCCGATGAATCGAAGAATCCCCAATTATACAAATTTGACATTTTCATTGGATTTGATTATCAGAATCGAGAAGCATATTCGTATACAAATGGCTGATTGAAGTGTATTGAACTGAGCGAGTATCGAAGCATTGTCGTGGACTTAGAGCATTAGTTTCAATACTGAAATCTGATATGCATTTTCCCAAGATACTGTGAAGCCTTGGGAAACAGACTGCTCACAAACATGACTTTCTTTCTACTTAATTGATATTGAATAAATATCTTTCGTATTATCTTCAAGTTATGTACTATGTGAAAGGTTTTGAAAAATGATGTCGAAATGGTATTTATAGGCGCTGTACGCGAAAGAAATCAATATCGTCTTCGCCCTAATAATACCAATGTTCCTAGATAGTTAGGTCGAAATTGATTAGTGTTGACGTGTCCTACATTATCTTGCGATTTCACATATATATATATATGATAACAAAGTTTATTGCAGTTTTTCGTGGCAGAAGGATGAAAACAATAACGAACAAGCTTTGACGGAAAGCTTAGAAATGCTGTATGGGAAAGCGGTTTTGCAGTATTCAACATTACTGAGAGATGTAATAAAAAAGAAAGATGTCGATCTAATTAAAGTTTTACAATGACCATTTCAAACGAAAGTTTCGAGGCATTTGAATTTCAAATCTCATCATTAGAATTTGAATATATTCATTAGCCAAAAGACGTTGCTTATTGTTCAGCGTGCTGAGATCTAACTTTCATTCTGTTGCTTTTGCATCATAAGCTGTAAAAGAAGATACTATTCGAAAGTAGATACCAGTTACCAATTTTATTATTATCAAAAATCTTTCAAGAGTTTCTGAATCCTGGAAAATCGTTAATAAAGCAGTTCTAACGATTTATGGAATACTAATCTTGTAAACAGATTAAAGATGTCCAAGGTCTCCGAAACCTTCAAAGTGCAATGTTGTGAGGATTCGAAAACAATTAAAAAAAAGCCTATTGAATCTAGATAGATATTGCACAAAATCTGTCGCAGGTTTAACTAAATGTCAAGTTGAAAAGTATTCATTGAAAAGGTAATGACCATAAAAAGAATCAACGTGTTTTTTCACATTCACACGATTGCATTCGTTGCTGATGAAAATCCAAAATATAAACACAAATGGTTCATTGTTTTTCATAATATCACTTACTGTTTTTTTTTATATTGATCTAGAAATTTTAAATGTATTGCTTAGTTTAAAATACACTGATTCTTTGACTTCTTTGGAAAAATTAGTTAAAATAACTTTCTGATATTAGAACCTTTTAGCGTTCTTATTATATCCAACTTTTGAAAATCACAATAACTGGATTCATTGGCATTTTTTGGATTCTGCATGTTTATTGTTCCGCTCGGAGGCAAGTTTATTTAAGCGAGGCATGTCTTCATATTACATGTTTAACAGTGATGTGAATTATGATTAAAAAACATAGAAAAAGAAGGAGAAAGAAAAAATGAGATTAAGAAGGGAACAAGAACAGAAAGAGGAAGACACGGAGACGAAAAATATGGTAAGAACCATGATAGGTAGAAATGGAGTAGACGTGTACATGCACACATGCTGCTAGATACGATGATTAATATTCTATTCTTTATTATTTGGTATTAATGTGCTTTGAGATGAATAGTGATGAATATCTTATTGGCTTTTAAGGTATGTTTCATTGATCTTGTTTATTCGACCTGTACTCGACGAACAAGAGTCAGGTTAATAAATATTGTTCACGTCTTGCCATTATTTTCCTAACTCAAGATAACCGGAAAAGGTGCCCCAGTTTAAACTGATTTATATTCTTCTTACTTACAATTTATTTTACAAATGTGTTTCAGATGAAAATATCGTTGAAAAATAATGAATTCTCTAAATCTGATGTATATATTTTTGGTAGTCATGTCTGTGAATCCATTCCCACATAATGAACGAAAGGTTTGTCTTTCGTAAAGACGTATATGTATATGTATATCACTTGCTTCTATGAATGCACAGTGTTGGATCAATCGAGAATCCACTCGAATTTTCCTCCGAACTACTTATTGTTGGGATTTTGGTAAGAGGAAAAAAATGGGAATATCCGAGTAAAGAAAAGGAAGAAATAACGGGTGTTGCAAAAGTTCCTGGAAAAATATCGCTTCATTTTTCATCGGGTAAAACATGTTTTGAAGAAATCAAAAATACCCATTTAGAGTCTATGCTGTAAGTGCTTTCTAGCTGTATGTTCAAAAAAGTGCTATTATGTTTTACTTTTAAATAACTGCCATATCCTTAAATATCGCTAAAATGTAACCTGTAAAAAGCAACCCACAATGACTACGACAGTGGAAATCGACCTTTAAGACATGTCATAGTATTTTCTACCAAGTTCGTAGAGAATTAAACGACGAGCCTAATACAAAACATCAATATATGATGAAGCGCATAAAAGATATTCGAAAAATAATGGAATACAAGTTTCCAATGTCGCAGTCATTCTAAGTTATTTTTTATAGACCATATTATAGTATTATTTTAGAATGTGTCATTTACTCAAAGGTAAGATATGAAAGAACGTTTTTGAAGATACAGTTAGAAAGCACTTTCAGCATAGATTCTGAATACATATTTTTGATTTCTTCAAAACATGTTTTAGCCGATGAAAAATGCAGCGACATTTTTCCAGGAACTTTTGCAACATCCGTATTGTTCGAGCTGCCAGTTATGAAATATATTATACAAAAAATATGAATATTTCTAGTTCTCTAAAAATTTTCCAGGATAAGAAAAAATTACATTAGAAAAGAAAATTGAAATGCGAAATGCTTGTTTCTTGAACAGCATTTCAGTACAGAAAGTCACAAATCGATAAAAATGACCTTGGTCTACTTGTTAAAGCACAACAATTTCACAGCCTTTCATACTATCCAACAAACTAATATTAGGAAATCAAAACACCATTAAGGAATAGTCCTGTCGGTACACAATCAACAATTTTAGAAACACAAATTTTCTAGAATAACTTGAAGACATCCAAAAATACAAATGAGGCATTTTGGTCGTTATATAAAAGTACTCTAAAATACTCTTTAGTATGCTATTCCATGTTGCCGAAAGTGTAAATATTTTCGAAGGGTCTGCAGACAACGAGAACTTTTCTAACAATGCTCAACGGAGTCGAAAATCAAGTCTCAAACATAGATAGGTTTTTTATGGATTCTACTTTTGATCATTGTCAACCGATGGCAGACTCATTACTATCACGCTAGTTCGCTTAGTTGACTCACAAGTTTCTTTATGTAGGTCTCCGAGTCACAACCAGATCTGCACCAGAATAAACTTTAGAATATATACAAATCATCACTGCATCAACAACAAGACGTACAAAGAAAATCTCTAGAGCTGAACAAAATAACTGTCAAATATATCATAATATACTTGCTGTTTTACCTTTCAAGTTATAACAGGTAACAACTCAAAATGCAACTGGATCCAAAACAAAACATAACCTTTACTAATTCTACTCAACAAAATGTTTATCTCCAACAAATTACTCCATCAATCAGGTTCAATATTTTCTTTATACTCGGAATACCATCATTTATTGCTTATACATTCATTATCATTTATACTTTGACTAACAAAAACCTATGTTCAGCACCAAATAATTATTGTCTTCTTATTCTCTTAATTGTTGAATTTATTTTTCAAATAATAGATCTTCCATTACAGTTGTATCTTTATCATCAAGGCAAAGTACTTTTTCAAAATGCTACATTTTGTTTTATATGGCGACTTATTGATTATAGTGGCTATGCAGCAGGTGCACTGTTACTAGCATGGGCTTCATTTGAACGACATATTCTCATTTTTCATGATCGTCTTCTTCGTTCAAAATGGAAAAATATATATTTACATTATGCACCACCTTTTATCATTATTGTCTATGTTTTCTGTTTCTATATCTATGGATTGTCATTTTATCCATGTAAAACTCCACTTAATTTTCAAGGCATTGCTTGCGGCAATGATTGTATACGAAGTTATGCAATGTTTTCCGCATGGGGCAAAATGGTTCATCAGATAGCTCCCTCATTATGTATTGGTATATTTAGTGTTTCACTTTTGATTCGTGTTCTTTATTCGAAGCGACGTCTTCAGCAAGCATTTAGTTGGCGAAAACATAGTAAAATGGCTTATCAACTTCTTTCTATATCATTTGTCTGTAATGCAGCCCTATTACCGTATGGTACGCTCATCTTCTTGAATGAAGTAGGTGTACGAGATATACCCA